AGAGTGAGCTAAACAGGGACAGTTTCAGAATTTCCCCTGAATTCATTCATGGCCCCAGAGAGGGTCACAAGCCATGGCTGAGCCTGTTAGCACAAGGCAGGAGAAAAGCCCTGGAGACTTGTGGCACCTCTTACTCCCTAGTGTGATATTTAAAACTACTCTCTGTGACCCAGTCTGTGCCATTTCTGCCCAAAAGAGGAGATAAGCTATTTTGCAATAGCTCTGAAGCAAGTGGTGGTCTTTCCACTATAATACCTATCACTGAAAGACTGAGATTCTGTTAGCTCAAAACCCTCAGTCCATGCAAATCTCATGGCCCCTTATCAGGCTTTCTCATTTTGAACCTTCATGCCATCTTTGTTTCCAGATGCAGAAATACCTCCAGCATCACACTAGCTACAAGCAAAGACAACACGAGGACTACATGTGTGATCAATCTTACTTTAAATTACTTGCAAATTGGATCTATATGAAGGATAAATCCTATCAGAATAGTCTATTACCCAACACACTGTATGATCTGCTGTTTGCATACTTGGGAAGGAGGTTTTCTTGTACATATCAACATCATATTGCAGTCATTTTTAACTCTCTCAGTGCTGCCTGTGGGCTCAAGGAAACACTATTTCTTTTCTATTCCAGAATTCTAACTATTTTTTTCCCTATTCTTTACAAAATTCTATGACAATAGGAATGGACCCTGGTTCTGAGGAGTACAGCCATTATCATAATTTAATATTGAGAAGATTGCTTTTTTGCAGTTGCAGGCCACCCTGTATTAGGGATCTTCTAACTAAGAGATGAAACATCATTTGGAAAGAAAATTGAAATGTAGCTAGGAAAGAAAGCACAGACATCCAAGCCTTAAGGATGTTTTCATGAATCCTTGGGCTGGAGAACTGAGTGGTCATTCAAGTCCAGAATTAGAAAAGAAAAAAGAAGTGCAAGCCCACAACCTCTGGGTACCAAATTCTGGTTCCTATCATGCAGGAGTGAATTCACTTCTGAGCAACTGTCCACCTCAGGGTCTGTGCAAACCTTAACATCTTTCCAGCTCCCTAAGCCCCAAACACCCAGAGATGACACGGACAGAATTTTAAGGGATATCCAGACCCTTTCTCACACTGACTGTTCAGCCTCAAATTTCAGTGACAGTAAATGAGATGCTCCCAGAGGAGTTCTGCAGAGGCAGAGGTGATGCCCCAGCCTCTGCCCAAGCTGAGAAGATAAGGTGGAGCAGATGCATTGCCAAGGCTGCAAGCTGTGGCTTCTCTAGTCTTTCTGTCTGCTCCTTTGTGTCTCACAATCAGAAACCTCCTTCCTTGTGGAACAGAGGGACCTCATGCACAGAAAGTCTCCACGTTGTGGTGAGTTCAGAGAAATGCAAATAAACTCATGTGCTAACTCACAAAGAGGTCAGCTATCATACCCTGCCTTTACCACCTGTCTGAAGGACAGGAGAGCAGGCTGCTGCTGCTTTGTGCTGTTCTGTCCTGACTCTAAATGTTGCAGAAGAATTGCACTTAGCACTGCTTGAGGAAAAGTTTAGCTCAGAAAAATACCTCATGTGTGCTGACCTCCAAAAGCTCCTCCCCATCTGCGCTACATTTTTTTTTAAAAGCTTATCATGATGGCCAGATGTCAGCTCAGCCAAATCCATAGGAATGCAGTAACAGATACCAGGATCTAGCCTAGGGCTGGCTTTGATCCAAAGCCTACTAAAATAAATGAGAGTCCTCCCCATGAGTCCACATAGGTTTTACACATCTTCATGCTATTCTGCTAAATGTTGCTAAGGATCACAGAATCATAAAATATCTCAAATAGGAAGGGACACATAAAGATCATTGAGCCCAGCTGGTTGCAGCTTGCAGGAGTACCTAAAACTAAACCCATACGACTAAGAGCATTGCCCAGATCCTTCTTGACTATTGGTCCTGGTCCTTCCACCCTACCAGAGTTCTGCTGTCAGCTTCAGTGGCCCTCACTGGTGTTTGAACTACATTTTTTTAAAAAATTTTTTTCCAATTTTGTTTCCATTCAGATATCTTGCACCCAGGAGTTCAGCTCAAATACTGGTGCCAAGAGGCTCACAGCTCACTTAATGCTGTGAAGTACAAGGCTTAAAGATGGAAGTGAGAACTAAACCTAAACTAGAAAAGCATACAGATATCATTAAGCAGAATATATATGGAGATCAGACAAAATCCTTCTATGATGAGGAAATGGGGTCTTTCAGGCCATCTCTACTAGCTACTACTTAAGAGAGAAAAGGATGCATCTTGATTTGACTATGAAGAAAATCTGGAGTTCTAGCTCAGCTAGAGATAAGGAGAGTATCTCAGACTCTATCTGGCCTTTGGCCAGAACTTGGGCTGGCTCTGTGTCCACTGCAAGTGTTGGCTGACTGCTCCTCTACCCCCATGTATTTTTAGCTGTCTTGATCCCACAGAAACATCAGCTCCTTCAAAGCACCAAAACCCCACATGTCCCAAGTGAACTCTAATAATCTAAGTAGAAGTATACAGCTGAAGGGAAATATCATGTTGGAGGCCAAATTTCTATTCCCAAGATATGTCATAAGTTTCATAGGCCTTTAAATTAATTCTCTATTGTAGTAAGATAATAATTGCTTTCAGGGTGAAGGGCATTTCTGAAGGGAAGAATGCAGAAACAGAGTTGGGGGTGTTGTGGACTGATAAAGTATAAATAGGGATTTAAATACAGGAGTATTCAGTCGGACTTGTAATATTTTATTTTCCAGGGTCTAGAACTTCCCAAAACTACATTAGATAAGCAAATATTAGAACAGATATTTTAAAAACAGCTCTATCTGTGGAGCACCGAGTGAGTAAATAATTTCTCCAAAATAGTCCAGTGAATTGAGGGAACAGAATCAAGAATTCCTCTGACTTATTTATCTGAAACCACTCAGGAAAAAAACCCTCCATCCTAACATGCTTCAGCATTTTCTCATTTCAGTACAATTTGAGCAAAAAAAAAAGGAGACAGCCAGACATGTCTTTAAAAAGTTCTATTGCTGTCTTGAAAACGAGAAAGGAGTGCTACTTACGCCATGACAATAACACTGAAATCCAGCCAGTTCCAGGGGTCTCGAAGGAAGGTGAACTCTGTCATGCAAAATCCTCTCGCCAAGATTTTTATCAATGACTCAAAAGTGTAAATGCCAGTGAAAGTGTACCTGGGGAATAAAGCAGGCCAGGATAAGCAAGGGTTAGCAAGCAGCAGACAGCAGGAACAACAGAGGCACGCTCAACCCAATCCTTCTTGCATGAGATAGTCCTGCCCATACCATTGGGGTTGCTCATGTGTGTCATGGCTGCAACACTGGGCCATGTGTAAGCAGCTCCATGTCTGGACCAAGGAACATGTAAGAAATGGGAAAGTGCTCATGACAGCTGCAGGATGAAGGTAATTTTCACTGCAGGGTGTACGTTGATGAATCTTCACTCATTAAGTCAAGCATGAATATGCTGCTAAGCTGTGCTATGGGACTTCTGATGCTGTGTCTCTGCAGTCACCCATGAAAGAGGAATGGATTATGCCACATTCCTTGTTTTTTCTCTAATTTGAAGCAAGGTGGTATTTCCATTCATACCTCTCATCTTTTCCTGTCCAGGGTAGTTTGAAGGACAGCAGGTTAAAAAAAGTCAGGGCTTGGTTTTGTTATCTATAAAAGGTATTCTTCCTGTAGCTCCCCTTGTGTTTCACATGGTAAATCACACCACTCCTCAGAATTAAACAAAAGAATGCCCTCACTGAAAAAGAGTAAACCAACTCCCACCTGAACACATGTAGTAATTTTGACCTGCTTAATAGTAAAAGAGACACGAGGGTGTTTTTTTCCCCAGTAAAATAAGTTGTTACCAACACCCCCTTGACTGTGATGATTTTTGATAGAACATACATCTTACCTTTTGTAATAAAGGTAGTACTTGTAATAAAATTTAGCAAATTCTCTGTGGAGGACAGTAATGTATCTGACTTATAACATTCAGATCTGTATTTACTCAGGGCTCAACCTACCATCAGAGACACACTTCAGGGCATACAACATCTCATTTTTAATGTTTCTACCCTAGACATCTAGCCCAATGGGACTCAGTATTCTAGGCTGTATCTTAATAAAAATAATAAATGTTTAGTATCTACCACTGGCATTACTGCCCCTTTTCTCAAAATGAATATGCAGATGATACCAAAGCTTATTAAGAAAAAAAAAAGAAACAACAAATACCTAAAATCCCACAAAATACAAATTTCATAATTTGTTATGTTAGGGTCTTTCATTGGAAGCACTACCTTGAGTTTTCTGTTCAGTTCCTAGACATCAGTAGTTTTACTGGTGCCACTACACAAAAATTATAACAGTTGGGATTCTTGTTTGTTAAAAAAAAAAAGAAAAGGTGTAAGCAATTAAAGGTGGTAACATAAGGAAGAACTTCATTATGGATAGAAAGAAGATGTCTTCTTTTAGCTGTATTCTGCTGATCTGCAGCTGGGCACACACACAGACAGTGGCAAATCTCATGCCCTCCTGCCATCATGTCACATATGTTATAAAACCTCAGCATGCTCCATTTTAAAATGGAGATTAGCAGGACAGTGTTTGTGTGACAGTGGGCATTAAAGGTTTCTCTCTTTGACCATACATCTAAGCATTATCTTGTGTCCAACTTTTCATGATTTTGATTTAGTCTTGCTTTGGTGTTTCAAATATAGGTCACCCATGTGACAGCCTCTTTAAGCATGTGTATTCAGTAATATATGCAGCAAACACATGCAAAGAACTAAAAAAAATACTTAACGGTACATAAGCTCATTAAAATGATAAAGTACTTGTGTTTATTCAGCATGTCAGATGGTTTAATTGATTGTATAATCATCATCTAATTCTAAATGGATCGGGCAAAGTCCTCCAGCAACTGAACAGCTTCTTTAAAAACAGAAGTCAGGGGTTTTAAAAAATTTTTAGTGGAGAGAAGTTGAATTGATTTCTTTTTTCAGAATGGTAAGGAAAATGTTTTAAAGGAAGATCTAGGACAAATAATTCGCACACGGTTACTCTTGTATCCCCTGTGAGTCTCAGCAACAGCAGAACAAAATGGATTAAATGTGTCTTTTCCAAATCCAATATTAATCAATTTGTATTACAGTTCAGTGGGTTATTTTGCTCCTCAAAAGTACTTGCCTTTGATTTCATTCTATGCATTTGAGGAGGAAAAGCTGCGAGGCATGAGGGGATGGATGCAGGAGAAGAGGAAACATGGAAGCTTTTACTCCATGCTGCATGAGTCCCTTTGCATTTCTGCTCTACATTTCTTACTGCACTGGTAACATCAGCCACACTTTCCTGCTTCTAGAAGGGACAATAACCACTTCAATATTTTCCTCCAGAATGTTTGAATTCCCAGTTGTAGACCCACTAACGAAACTTTGACTCACATGGATGAGATGTCCATGTTCCAGCTGGATACATCATGGCTATGATACTGTATGACAGTTTTCAATGGGAAAAGGACAACGTCGGGGGCAAAGGAGAGACACAGACATACTTGACGGTACTAAACTATACAGAAATACCTGAAACATCCTGGAATTAGGATGTTATTGTGATCATATGAAATATTTGGTTCAGTGATGTCTATAATTAGTAATTTATGGCCTAGAAGTTATGCCCTGTGTGACTATATGAAACTTAAAATAAGGGCATTTTACTGCCTTTCCTTACTGCCTTGAGTAGACCAACCACCAGGCTATGGAGCAGCAGATGGCTGTGTTTATCATGTGTCAGTCAAAAATAAAAAGTGTGTTCTGATTGGTTCAATGAGCCAAAATAATTGTTTAATGCACTGTAGGTTGATTAGCTTGTGCATCTGGTATCAGTTTCTGAAAGAAATATTTCAAAGCAACTTAAAGACATGAAATTGGTTTTCTGAAGCCCACTAGCCTCTTTTAAAATTAATTAGAAAAAAAAAAAAAAAAACAACCCCAAACCCAAACTTTCAAGTTATGTCTTCGTTATTTTTCTAAAGGTTAGACAAGCTAAAAAGACAGGAATCCTCCTAAAAGTGTTCCCAGACAATGTTATGCTTGCTCATAAAATATACCTACCAACGAGTACAGGGGAACACTTCTCATTGTGTGCTCTGTTCAAAAGGAACTTTTGCTTCCAGGAAGTTTCAGTTCAAGAACAGAACTAAATATGTCCAGAAAGTATTTTCTGAAACAATTGAACTTAAATCCAGCAGCCTATTCTAATGTGTCCAACCATCACATCTATGGCATGGGAACTGTTGAAGGCTGGCCAGTTCTCTTCATAAGTGATTTCATTCAGGTGTAGCACAGCAGGTGCATTTAGCAGTAAGTATGAGCTTGGGAGACTAAAAATTTTTAGTTTACTTACTAAGGGAGGTTTCACAGGCAACAAACACCTGGAAAAACGTTTTGTCAGGACAGATGCTATGGTCAGTATTACTGGAAAGAAATTAGACAACAGCAAACAAGATGAAAAGATGGGTGTATAAAGTGGAAGGACAAGGTAAAGGTGGGGCAGCTGTAAACAAGCAAGGATACTTACTCAACATATTTATTCCATGGTGGAGTCTCTGACTGTGCCATGAACACACAATTAGTTAAAATAGTGCACATAATAAACATACTGAACAATGTAAATAAGCAAATTAAGGAAAAGAACAAATATAAGACTTCATATATTTTTGTAACTTCACACAAGATGTGACATCTCACTCATCATTTCCAAGTTGCTTAAAAAGGACTATAGACAATTGTTTGCAAGTGCATAAGGAAAAATTATATAAACATAAAAAAAATTGAGGGAAACTTCCCAGGTGTTTCTTTTTTTTCTTTGCTTACATCTCTTATAAATACTTTATATAGTAAACAAGTGTACTGACTCTGCAGTCCTTTGAAAACACAATACCCCAAATTTACAGCTGTGTTGGTCAGATAACAATGTGCATAGGTGCACAACTTTCTATGAAAAGAGGGATTAGTCTCATTTAAGTATCTACGGAAAAACCTGTGTCTGCAAATTCCCATTTTATTTTGCATCCTGAAACCTTTCTCAGGCAGAAGGGCATGTTATAAATCTGGTCTTTCTAATCTCTCTAATGGGCTTGAGGTCTCACTTTCAGTATAAAGTTTCACAAAAAGCTAATGTGAGTTTCAGAGCACTGATTTTAAGGCTTGGTTTGCAAACTCGCTTGGCAAATACGCAGTCTTGGTCTTCAAAGCTGACTGGCTCAGTTGAGGCACCAGTTTCCCTAATTGGAGGCTAAAACAAACCTCCCAAGTGTATAGTCCATGCACTTAGCTGCTGAAGCCATAAATATGAAAAGGAGCATCCTAAATCGAATTCCTTGAAATTGAAAAGATAGTTCACTGCACTGCTCTCTTAAAAGCACATGCCACTTTCTGTAAAAAACTTACAAAACATGATGGGATTCTCCTGCATAAATAACAGGCCTTATGCTACTGGAGAAAGTTTAACTACTGAGTCTAAGTGGACAGAAGATAAGGTGAAGGAGAACAACAAACAACTCAGTCAATAGACAGGGACCCCTTCCCAGGGAAGAATGGAAGCATCTAAATGTAAGTTCCTCTTGCTTTCTTTAGGGGAAAAAAAAAAAAAAAGTTGTTTTTTTCTTTTGCTCACCTTATTACTGGCTCCATTAGTGTTATTTTTTGGTTTGAGAATAGTGATAGAAGAATATAATTTCAAATGTATGTCCTGAAATGTTTCCATGAAAATTGTCCTTTCACAGAGCCCAAATCTCTAATGAATACAGAGTGGAACATTTTCCAGTGGGCCACATAAGCAACTTTGAGCTTAAATTAGTAGCAAGCAGCCTGCATATTCCCCAGCACCATCACAGAAAGCATTAATTGAACTCAGAGGGACTGCTCATCTCACAAACATTTTCCACTTCTGGGCCAACACCTCCTACTGAAGGACTGGGAAGGATATCTGATAGCCAGTCACATTTTCTCACATCAGCTTGAAATAGTTAAGTTGTGTTAACACTGTTGTGTAGCATCTGGTTAACCAGGTTGTAAGCTGCAGCTAGCATAGAAAACACTGGATTACTTTTTCAACTACACTGAAATTCTGTGAAATGCCATGAAAACAATAATACTAAACCAGAGTGGTATCTTCAGGACCTGCCAAACTAATATTATACTTTAATTCCACAAAAAGAAATTCCTCTGTAACCACCTATTGTAGGATCACTGGTCTGATTTATACATCCCTGTTTTCTTGTGGTATAAGCTGAATCTAACAGCTTTCCCAGACAGGTGTCATCAACTTCTTATTCAAGCATCAAAGAGAACATACTAGAGAACAGAAGTTGAAAATGTAAGAGGTCAGCTTTAGGACATCAAATGCACTATGAATTCAAACTGAGTTTCAAGTCCAAGCTGAAAACTACAAAGAACATAAAAGAATGAAACATTTCAGCTGGTTCTGCATTGAAGTCAGAGATCTCTGTTAAAAGAAAGAGAAAACAAATTCCTGCAGAACAAAAATTAGCATTCCTACCTGAAATTTAACGCAATTGTTCACATTAGAAGAAGTCAGTGATGATGATCTACTCAGAAAGGACAAAGTAAAGGAGATGAAATTGAGATAAGCTTTATTATCAGCATTGTCTGTTACTTATCTTAGAATGTCTGTTAATTCCAATTTTTGATAGCCTACTGATGAGTTGACATGGCTAACACATCCAGAAATAGGGGTTGGACTCTGTTATGGACCACAAACTGAATACTAAGCTCCTCATCAGGATCCTTTCTGCAATAAATTAAACCTATTATTTCCAGTTTGAATTTTTAGAACAGGCTTTGCACAAAATGATTCTAGAAGTTATAAATTTTATCGTCAAGCACAACGATATTGAGTCAAATACAGCTTACTTCTATTCTAGACTTCATTATGATGGATAATTGTTAATTAGCAGGCTGAATACTAGAGGCTTTTTAAGTGATCATTGCCAAATTATATATAATACGTGCAAGAAAAGGTTAGTTCCAATCAATAGTACACATAATTGGTGCTTCACAAGGTCTCATTTTCCCTTATAGAGGTAAGTATGTAAAAACAGATGGGAAAGAAGTTGCAAGCAGAAAATATGAACAAAGTTTGGAAATTAACTTTAAGAATTTTTTTTTTTTAAATGGGCCAGAATCTATAATTCTAGCATTGAGGAAGGTAATTATGCTGAAAACCTCATTCTGGATCAGTGGCAAACAGAAAGCTACTATCTATAATATGTAGAAAAACTAGGAATAGCAATTACTATTTATATAGGAATTTATACTTGAATTTATACAGGACAGTGAACTACTTGGAAAAACTAAGGACACCACAGAATGGTCCTTGGCTTGCAGGCAAGAGGAAATAAGATGAGTCTTCTAAGCATAAGGTATCAATGAAACATTAGCAGTGGTTTAGTCTTATTAATAGGAGGAGATAGTAAATGAAGACATGAATAAAAGCCAATAATGATGTAAAAGGCAAAAAATGTTCATCCAATGGGATGCAGACCTATGTTCTCCATGTCCTCTATGACAGAAATGGACCAGTGCCTTGTTCTGGGCAGCTGTCTGGGCCATGGTTCTTTCATGAGGCCTCCTAGATTCTGAAGAATAGAAGAAATACCTAGACGAGGTTTAGGGATTTGTTGTTAATTGAAGTAATTCAGGTTACCAGGAGGCTGTGGATGTTTTTTTCCTGTAGAAGGGTGTATTTTTGGATGCCTAGACTAACCAGGTTTGGCTGGATGAGCAGTGAACTTACAGGTTCTATCCTGCCTGAAGTCTCAGAGGAAGAACTCTATATGCAGCTACTTAACCAAGAAACGTGACCTCCACAGTTTCTATTTAGGAAAATTTTACTCTGTCCTCTCTGTTCTGTTCTACTGTTGGCCTTCATGGTACACTCAATGACTGGAAATGGAAATATGGCATCTACTAAGAAGTGGCTTCAGACACTTACATGACAGGGCACCATTTGTTAATGCTCTTTTTTGGCTTTTGCCCCGGGGGAAAATAAAGATGCCTTGATTACACTGACACAAAACAACAGATCTGGTTCCTATACTCATGTCTGTAATATTATCTGCTCGAGTCCTTGCCGATTCAGGCTCCTTTCTGCCTGGCATATTGACTGCCTGCTCAGCCAGTTGGCCTCTGTGTTTCAGGTTGATGTGAAAGGTCTTTATTGACAGAAAACAAATCAGTGCCTAATGCAGGAACTTCACTGTTGTTTTGCTGGTACTGGAGCTGTTGCCTCCTGCCTATGTTTGCCAAAGACTGAGCTGTTCAACTGCCTGACACTATCAACACAAGGTGATAAATTTGGTCTTTTGGGGTTTAAAATGATATCTGCACTGTGACCTTCCATTCCCAAAATTTTACAGTTCTTATCTGGCCGTGTTTCTTTTCCTGTTCCTTTCAAATTCACTCCTCTGTGGTCTTTATCCTTGGAAGTAATGTGATCAGGTTTTCTTGCATATTTATCCTTTGGTTCACTGCTATCAAGAGCATGTAATACCTCTGTATTACACATACCTGTGGCCTTTTGGCTTCACCAGCTAGTGTAGAACAAAATAAACAGAAGACAGAACAGGCCACCAAAGCTGGAGGCAATATTCACACATACATGATCTTTTTTTCTAAGAAGCTCAGTTTTCAGATTCTTCTCTTAGCCACACCCATGCAAATTCATTCACCTCAATTACCTTCAGCAAGGCTGTGCTGATGTAACTGTACCTAACAAACACTCTCGGGCTCTGGGAATGCAGCAGCATGGGCTGCACTGCTTCCACATATAATCTGATCCATAAGCAAATCTCTCTGTAAAAGTCTGTGGTATATTCTTAGTAACCACAATAATATCTTGGCTGATATCACATATTCATTTTTGCATAGAATTATTGCAACTAGAAGCTTCACCTATTTTTCCTCTTGCTAGAATATCTATATTCTCAGCTGTTCTTTTTTTTTTTTTTCCTCACTGTATGGACAACTGCTGGGAATCTGGTTTCTTTCCCTGTTTTTTTTTGTCCCTGAAATTAACCAATGCTTTTAAGATGCTACCTGCTTAGTAATTATTAGTTCTCTGTGGTGGACATGAGCATTGCAGATGTGGGATTTCCATCACTAAAACATCACACAATCATCACAGCAGCACGTGGAGTCTTTGCATTGTCACTGTCAGGTCTCTGAAAGCAGGCAACTCATGAAAAAGGGTGTGGTTTCAGTAATGTTCACATAAAGCTGAACATTTGGGTCAGTTTGGTCTTCCAGAGAGATGTGACTAGATCAGAATATAAAGTTTCTTTAAAAAATCAAAAGCCCCAAATCAACCATTGCAGCGTATCTTGCATGACTTTGGAACTAGAGCTAGGGGAAAACAGGCAACACTCTCATTGAAAAGGTGCAACAGGCCAGTCTGTGCTTTCATCCCTGGCTGGATAATAAAGAAAAAAAAAAATTAAAATAAAATATTTTTAAATGTTCTGTTTCAGGAGAGAAAATAAATTCGGTTCTGAGGCAGTTCAAAATTAAATTGCATCTGCATAGGGTGTCACAGAATCTCATGGGAGAGGTTGCTTAAGTTGCAAAGCTCCCCATCAGTGTAGATTTCCCTGGGTGTGCTCCATCCTCCTGGCTCCTTCATTTCTAAGGTGCTGTACCCACTTTATTTCACTGAATCTTTACTAAACATAATCCAGTCCTTCATACTTTTTAATCCTGATTAAACTCACTAGACAGACAGAGTGCTGTTCCCATTACCTGATGCCAGCAGTGTAATACAGCCATTTTCATAGCTCATATAATGATATAGAATGAGAAACACAGCAAAAAATCCAAGTGCATTTCTGTTTGTGCAAGGAAATCCAGCCAAAAGATTTAAAACAGCTTAGTGAAATAAAATGGTTTCTGACTTCCATCCATCTGTGTTTAAAAAAATATATAGAATATACACAAAGAGGGAACACAACAGAAAGGATATGAATGTACCAAAATTTTAATTGCTGCTCTTCTGACTGGATGGAAAGGACTAAGTATATACAAGGCAGGAGTGGCACTAAATCGAAAGATTGTCTTCCCTTTGTTCAGTACTATAAATGTCTGGAAAACAAAAGAGAAAATGAGAACGTTCAGTATTTGCATTCATGCTCTGCTTTTACTAGCCCACATCCCCTTGGGAAATTTCTGCCGCTATCCCATTTCTTCCCCACTCCCTTGTAAAACTCCCAAATTCCTTTTCACTCTAATACTTTTTTTCAATACTCTCCCAGCAGAGCTGTTGCCTGTCCTATTGCAATATCCTAACTATTTTTTCTTCCTTCACTTCTTACAGGCTCCTGTGCCATCACCCCCATCGTGGGGTTCAGAAGAGAGTGGAATCACCTTTAAAAATGAAAAAAAAAATATTACTTGGAGAGTAAAATGTGGGGGAAGGACTTTTAAGATGCTCTTCTTCCTGAGTGCTGGGAACCTTACTATGCTTTTACTCCATCTTTCCTACCTTAAGCACTTTGTTGCTCTAAGTCTCACCAAGTCAGAAGCTGCAAGAGACACAACTCCACAGCTGGATCTGCCCCTGGCACTGAGGCACTGCCACTGTACTCAAGTTAACATTGGCAGACCAAACCCATACTTTGAGTTACCTTAAATCCAAAGCAAATATGAGTTGGATGCTGGCCCAAATAACAGAGCTCTGGAGATGCCCCACTATGCCCAGGAGAACTAACACTCACTCAGAGCCAGGATCAGGATACTCAATAGATAAACTCTAAGCAACTGACCCACCTTGAGTCTCAGACCTTCGTGACACTAAAACTGCAAATCTATATCCTGCTGTTTGTGCCTGGGGATAGCAGGCAAATTAAAAGGTAAATTAATTCTGGCCCTTCCAGGTAAGTAATCTATTTGTCTTTATCCATTTAACTTTAATTCTGCAGCTCTCACACCTTTTTCTACACTGTTTTAACAGAAGTAGCATTGTCTTATTAAGTCATTGTTTACAGGAAACAACATAGCCCCAAATCAGGAACATCATTACCTGAAAGAACTGGAAGCTGCCTAAAAATACATTGTGCTTCCAAACCTTATTTTCTCCCCAGTTTTGGGAAATGTTTGGAAAGGGGAATGAACTGTAGTAAACAACCAGCCTGGCTGTGCTGTCAACAGCCTTTTGACAGAAGCTGTTTGCACTGTTATGGCTTTGATCCAGCCTACACGTGATTCCTCATCAGGTGACTCTTGCTTTAGGATGAAGCTTACCCTTCTGCAGTGTGCCACCTTTGCACATGCTACTCACATCTCCCTTCAGCTCTGTTTTGGCCATCTTAAACAGAGTCGAACTATCCCTCCGCCGGAAAAGAACTGCTGCTCTCCAGGAAGAGTTGTGAGGTGCCTCCTGCTCCTGTGCCGAGTGCTAGCACAAGACTCAAGTCACCCAGAAGCCCTTAGCATTAAGGGGCTTAAGTGATAAACAGACCTGTGAAGAGTCAAGGCTCATGGGGAAGGCATGATAGGGGAGATAAAAACCTCTGGCTTAATTTAACTCAGCTACTGCTCTGCTCTTTTCAGACACTGTATACTCATACTCAGAGTTATCTGAAAACACCCAATTTTTCTGCTTTTTATCCCTCTTCGCCCTCCTGCTTAGACATTTCCTGGGAGTCCTGCTCATGCCACAGCTCTGATCCTTAATCTGGGAAGAAACTTTTTTACTGGCTGTAGAAAGATAAAAAGCAGAGCCCTCAAAACAGAGACAGTGCTTATGCTTTGGCGAAAGCAAAGCAGCAGGCTGGCTGGCGAGGGCTCACCTTACGATCGCTGTAGAAAGGGTCCAGGTCCTCCAATGGCTCCCCAATGAGCTCTGGAGAAACAGTCCCATAGATGTCGGGCAGCTTCTTGCAAGCCTGCAAATCAAACTGGGGCTGAGGCTTCTCTTCCTCGCCCAGCTGCTCTCGGTATTCCTGCTTCGCGTTCCGCGCGAGCTTCTCCGCGATTCGTTTCTCAATGGCAGCCAAGGATTCAGGCGTGAACCGGTGGAAGCTGTTAGTACCCGGTGGTAACAAGAAGTCAGCCATCTTTTCATCCTGCTTTGTCTTTACTGGTCTTTACTTCTAGTAGTAGAAACAGCTGAAACAAAAAAGTGGCAAAAGTTACTGTCAGGAGCAAAGTAAGAAGAGCAAAGCCACCAGAATGAAAAAAATCACTCAAATAACTTAGAGTCTATCTATTATCAGGAAAAACTTCATCTATATTTATGTCCCTAGCAGAACATCAAAGAAAAGAGAAATTACTGAAACTATCATTTCAATTTGGAATCACTCATGATCAGAGCTAAAAAGACTTATAGATAGATGTCGAGTAGTCTTTTCAGTCTCTTGGGATCCTAAATCCAAACTAAGGAGTAGCTGAGATTCATACAAGCTTAAGTTTCATTGAAAGGCACAGGGATTTGGATTCCTAACTCATTTTTGAAAATGCAGCTCTGGGAGTGGATGAACAATGTGCCTAATATGACTGCAGGGCAGATTAAATCAGCCCATCTCCGGCCACATGATGCAAACTCTAAAAATGCCCCAGCTGTTCTATTCCAAATTTAAAGAGTGAGGGGTCAAGTTCAGATTCTTAAATCACATAGAAATTCTTCATAATCTCCATCTTAGGCTTCTGCAACGTAATTTTTATTTTCCTTTGGGATTGAAAATACCATCTTCAAAATATCCATCAAGACTTTTGAGCATTTTCTTCTCCTCCACACCCTACAATGTGAAGGATGTTGGAAGCTCAAATGGTTCTCTCAAAGCTCTGGGACCCTCATGAGACCATGCTAAGTTTCTGAGATGCTGAACAGATACTGCTGCCAGCTCATCACATCTGAAAAACAGGCTCCTTCCATCCAATACCAGTTTAAACATCTAACCCAAACCTGTGAGGTTTGACCACCTTGGGCTGACGGTGCTTCACTGTTAACATTTCCAATCCCCACCTGAATGAAAACAAGTGAGAATTGCCACATCTCTTCAACTTACATGAATAAAGCCAAGTGTGAAAAACACAGCAGAACAAAAAGGCTTCTTGTATCTGCACTAAACAACACAGAGAGCTGTGAGAATTGATGTAAAATTACTGTTTGAAGAGGGATGAAGGTGATCCCTGTTCTAGCAGTCTACACAAATCCATCCAAGTTCACTGAAGCCACATTTTTCAATTTAGTAGTGACTTTACAGAATTTAGAGAACTTTAGTGATATGTTTTTCCAGAACAGAAACCCTCACTACCCAACAGTTAAAACTCATTTCACAGAAGAGACACAGCTCTTGTTTTTTTACTACCAACAGACCATTTGTACTAAATCAGAATATGAGCTGGTGACAAACAAAATTTTGAGGTGGGCCACCCCATTGAATTTGTTGATTTGCACAGGATACAATTCTTTGTTCATCCTCAATTGTTGTTTTCTGCTTTCAGATGGTATTTGTCTATTTACAGTGGATAGTTCCAGATAGTTTGCTTCTATTAGGCTCTGTGATGACAGCATTTTTGTTAGCAAACAAGACTTTAACTGGACTCTGCATGACAAATGGCATATTTATTGACTCAATTTATTTGAGTAAAGTACTCTTTCAAATAACTACTGTTTTTCCTATTCTGACTTCATTTTAAAATGAATTCATTAAATTGTCATTGATCACAGCCTATCATACAGGAATGATTTACTGGAGCTTGTACATTATACTGTGCCTTACTGCTTGAGCAAGCAGGTCTAAACTGAATTAGCTTTCCTGCAGTTTGGGTATTCTGACATTCTTCATTATTTAGAATTATTTTCTTTATCCCTTTCCCCTCTACCCCCACATTGTTCGCTTTATCCCCTTCCTCCTAAAAAGCAGGAAATTAGAAGCTTTCCCACAACTTAAGTTTTCTTATGCTCAATGCTTTGTGACTCAGCACCAATGCAAGCAAATAGAATTTCACTTTCTAGAAATGACATCACTACAGGTGGCCAGAGAATTCTCAGAGTTTTTGTTCTTTCAGTCTTTGTTTATTCACAGCGAAAACCATTTCAGTGCTGAAGGAGACAACAACAGTGAATGATCAGCACTCATGGAAGGGCACAGGCTAGGTCTGTAATCTGCAGAGGAGATCGTTGCAGGCTGTTAGTTGAGGCATAGTTGAGTTGAGACAACTATGAGGATGAGGATGGTGAGCAGGGAATGTCTGTTTGCCTTTTTTCATAACCTGAGACTGGAGAAACTTCAAATGAAATCACACAGCATTAGGTTGGGAACAATCACTGGAGACACTTTTGACATGGCGCAGAGTTATCCCGTGAAACTTCTTGGCTGCAAATGGCAAGGATTCCCAAAGCCACAGGACAACTGGAGGGACAAAATATCCATTAATATTGATGCTGTCTCTGAGAAAATCCCTTAGCTGCAGTACCTGGGTGCACACAATAAAGATGACTTATGTTTGCCCAATTTTTACACTCTTTCTAGGCTACCAGTGTACAGAAAATAATCATCATCTGATCTTATGTGCTTTAGTCCTTACATAGCATTTATGCCAACACAAGACAGTCTACACTGCCTTGGGCAAGGACTCAATCTGCCTGCTGACTCTGTAGCTGGCCTGATTTTTTACAGATGCAGAAGCACAAAGAGAACCAAAGTTATAACCCCTCATACATCTGCAGATGCTCAAGATCTGCTTTGGACCAACCACCTTCTTCCAGTGCTCTGGAGTACAGGCTAGGTGACTGCTTCCAACCTACACAGACATTTGTTGGAAACCTTTGCTGGAAAACTGGTGGTAGACACTTCTGCACCATCTTTTCCATACAACTGAACTGGAAGCATGGCCATATAGCATGAGGGACACCAAGGACTTTACTGAGATGGTAAGAGAATGCATGGAACATCTCTACAAAGTGCCAAAGTTTTCATGGGTGTTGATCACAAAAGCTGAATCTTCACTAGAATATTCAGAATACTTCTCAGACTTCCTTAAACTCTTCTAAAAGGAGCCATTCTGGCAACAGAGCTGGTCAAAATTTTTTATAAAAAGAAAGAAAAAAAAGGATAGGGTATGGAGAGGGAGATAAAATAGCCAGAAAAAAAATCATCAAAATGAGAAGTTTTAATTATTTTTTTTTTTAAAAGGGAATTACTTTTGCTTAAAGCTCTCTCTTATTAGAAAATTGAATCAATTTCAAACTGGTCAAAACCAGATCTTTTCAATTTTACCTGCAAATTCCAGAAAGATAGCTGCCTAGGAACAACTGGAAAATTCTACACAAATTTAGTAAGAGATTTGGCTACACTTTTGTTTACATTTTCTTTAAAAAAAATTATGTTTTCCAGCATCCTTACAAATGAACAATCTTGACATATTTTGCCCTTATATTATATATGTTACACTTCCGAATTTTAATATATATATTTAGCCTAATTCTTTTTCAATTTCATAAACTTTCAGGAAATGGACAAGATAATTTCATGGGTCCTTTCTATGTCTGATTTCTTTTAATCTATCCATTGCAAATACTTCTACAAATATCCAAGGTTAGCCCAGATGTTTCTTAAAAGGGTGAGAAAGAAAGCACCACAACTTAAAAAAAGGAAATCATCAATGACTGAATCAAAGAGCTGGAATGCCATTTCTTAAGAGATAATAGCTGTTGTGATTCACGTTTTTACAATATGAGCCTGGATTTTTCCGTTCCTCTCAGGCATATTTTTGAAGTACAAGGCTTCAAAGACATTGTTTCTGTGATATCACCACACACAGAATGAACATTTCCCTCTTGCTTTGTCTTTGTTAAATTCAGTTAACATCAGCTCTTGCTGATAAAAATGTACTGGTTATGTAAACAAAATGTGCATATGAAAATAAAGCCCCAAGATGCATATTTTCTGTGGCATGGCAAGAAGTGAGAACAGAACAAACAAATTAGATACTGCTAGCGCCTGTGCTTAGAAAGATAAATGCCATTTTCTATTACAGTTTTAGCCTTACTCTTATAAGCTTCAGCCACCCCAGCTCAAAAGGCCTTTCAGTTTTCTCAGATCATGATTTGCATGCCCTGCAAGCCTTTCCCTGACTCCCTGTGGATGGCTGACCATCACTCAAAAGGCTACTTTGGGCAAGAGGTTGCCTGCAGGGGTGTGAATACAAGGAAAGTGGGTCCTGCTCCTGCTCATCTCCAGCTAGCTGCTCTCTTCCTCTTGGATGGGGCTTTGTGGACTAAGACCACTACCTTAGCATCTATCAACTCTTTATGATAGCCCAAGATGCTGACACAAGCCATCAGGGAGGTCTCATTCCCCAGAAGCAAGTGGGGAAGCAGAAGGTAAGGTTCTTGCTGTGCGCTACACCTAGCTGGACACTGACTTGAGAGAAGTGAGGGGTTTTGTACATCCATATCAAGGATGTGTATGCATATATTTCAGACACTTGGCAATGATACAGAAGGGCCAAATGTGAAGATCAACAATGTGAAAGTGGTACTCACAGGCTCAAGCTTAGATACTGTCAAACGTGCTCATCTTGGGTAGGATTGTATTCATTTAACCCTACTGATTTCCATGATGCTACTCAAGAAACTACTACTGACCCTGGACTGGGGAGACAGATAACCCCTGGCAGCAGACATGTTTCCACTGCAATTTTGCCAAACCTAAATCTTACAAAATAATAATCAGGAGTCCTAAATTTTCCTTTTGTTTAAGAAATGTTTGTGGCTAAATATAGATTTTGCATTCCTAACTGGTATAGTAACAAAAACAGTCACAAGGACTGTTGGAGGACTGAATGAGGGCTGAAATGACAAAAAGTCATTTCTTTTAAATGTTTGAGGCTACATGGAGCACAGTCATCCTTTTTTTTTGCCCCCTTTGCCATTTTCCTTTGACCTGCAGAGCACTGCAAAACATGACTAGAGAAATAAAGAACACCACAATGACACATCTAGCTTAATGCCATTGGCCTAAATTCACAAATTCTTTTGTGTAAATTTACACACAAACATTTTATCCTATTTAAAAAGACTATAAGGTGATATGAGATCGCATAGAAG